GGTGCTCTATGTTGTGCACCTCTGTGGGGCCCTCCTCTGTGGGGCCCTCCATGTTGTGCACCTCCGTGTGGTGCTCCACGTTGTGCACCTTCGTGTGGTGCTCCACCTTGGGGTCCTCCATGTTGTGCACCTCCGTGTGGTGCTCCTCCTTGTCCAGCAAGTATGAGTTGCAGTAACTGTTGGTTTTGAGCAACCAGTTGCTGCATGGTCTCCAATATTTGTTGGGGATTCGGGGCTAGAGTATCCGGAACAGGGTTGATAGGCGGGGGAGCAACCTCCTCCTCTCGTGGAGGATTGTCTTCGTGTTGGTTCATGGATCGAGTAGTGATCGCCATTAGTTAATGGATGTAATGTTCAGGAGTGAGAATTTTGTCGTTTCCCACAGACGGCGCCAAACTGATGATGCACAAAAATGGTTTTGCACACCACCTGTCAAGTGTAGATAATAAATGCAATGAAATCAATGAAAAAATTAAGAAGACACAATCTATAGTGGTTCGGTCAATTCGACCTACGTCCACTCTTCAATGGCTTCAGTTGCCGGGTATTTTATTGATTCAAAGGTATGGAGAATGGAGATACAAGCTTTGAGAAAAAGAATGGAGAATCAAAGAAAATAGTAATCTCCGGTAGTCGGTTCGTCCTCCGTAAGTCTCTGGTGGAGCTTGATATCTCTTTTCTACCAGATTGGAGCTATTTTATAGCAGCTAAGAGATCATTCTTGTGGAGATCATGACATATCCTCAAGGCTTCTTTATCGCAGCTAAGAGATTATTCTTGGTGGAGATCACGACTTATCCTCAACGGAAGGAGGAGGTTGGGGAGCTCTTCATGAAACGTGGACAAAGATTGGACCGTTTCCTTCGGTGGTGCAGATAAGCTTCCCGTGCTCTCCTCTTGGTGACGTGCTAAGCAAGAAGTTTAACCGGTCTTGGACTGTCTTGGGCTTGGTGGAATCAAAATGAGGTTGGGCTCCTCAACTGGGGTTGAACTTTAACACATAAATTAGACTATTTGAGCTTAACCCATCATAATGGATGGAAGGAAATTTCACTCTTGATTATAGCTATATTTATAGTATTTTGTAGCTTTTTGTAGCTACATTTACAGTACCATTACAGAGTGAACTCAAGTGTGATCCTGTTACATATAAGTGAGTTCCTCTCAAATACATAATGAGTGGTGGTCTACTAAGGAGAAAAAATTTAAAAATTAATTTCACAATGATTTTATCTTTATTGCATCACTAATTGTCTGTTAGGTAGGATAAAAAAGGAAAGTAAGAATAAAATATACTATATTTTTGAAAGAAGGATTTTTTTATCTTTTTTTTTATGCGTTTG